TGGCAATTAATTTTCAATTGGGTCTATAAATTGTAACTCGTAACTCTTTGTGGTAAAACATACCACCTAATGTGAACTCACTGACTGCACATAACAAGGTTAGATGGTTCATATAATAACTTTTATTTTTGGTGATTGGCAACTGACAGCATAAATTTACAAACTATGCTGCAAAGACTTATTTCATAGTAATTAAATTCTTAAAACTTGATGAGACCTAATTAAAAGATCTCTAGGTCAAGTACATTTATTCATTTATAATTTGAAATATTACATCATTTTCAAAGTAATAAATCCTTAAACTCCCATTACTTTATAACTAACTCTCCCTACTGTCTTCCATACAATCAGTAAGATGAAAGTTTGGAGAATTTGCTATTGGATCAACTAATTATACCTTAATTAATTTTTCCCTTTTTCTTTTCATCACTAGTCAGTTTAATTCTGTGTTCACGTTGTAAGGACAAATTCTTCCTTAGTCACTACAGGTAGTAAAAGGTTGAGTAGTAACACCAATACAAGATAAATTTCTCCGACTGTCTTTACTCTGGTATCTAAACATGGGCTGGCTTTTGCATCATCACCAATATTTAATGACAAGATCCTATGTCGGATAACTCAAATTGTTAGTATTACTTATTACAATAGATGTTAATTTCCTGAGTTTCTTCAATAGTTACTGGTTAATCATAAAACCATAAATTGAACTATCAGGTAAGATCTGGACAAAAATATGATCTTTACCTTGCCTACAAGTACATCAATACATCTGACAGTGACTATTTCAGGGCTAACTATGATTAGTATATACCACACAGGCAAATAGTGCTTATCATGCATGCTGATTGGCTAGTTTGAAAGTAAATAGCAAGTATTATTCACTTCTGAGCACATCAAGAAATTAATTTATGCCCATTTGAAATAAACATATTAACTACTTTTTTAGCATCTGTGTGGTATAAACCAAAACAAATCTTCACCTCAGTGTAAGTTAAAGTGGTGGATATTTACAAAGCCATGAAGCAGCCAAGTAAATATCCACCTCCATTCACCTCCACTTTAGTGAATAACTGTTAAGTATTCAAAACATCAACCCAAAATTATAAACCTAATTAACAAAACTACTCAGCCAAAAGAAACAATGTTTTAAACAAATAATTTATGCCACAAAGTTTCACATCTGTGGAAATAAGATCATGACGACTGCTTATTTACCACAAAAAAGGTACTGTATACTGTAAACATTAATTTAATGCTATTTGAAAGCCACAAGATTGCATGGGCCATGCAGGAATCAAAGCAATTTACAGAAGGAATTTATGAATATTACACAGTTCCAAAGGTTCACAAATCTTGAATGTTCTGGGAACCGAACCAAATAAGAGAAGTGACATCAAGTTTGAGAAATTCTTTACCACTGTAGCAATATCTTAGCAGGTTTTTTGGTTGCAAGTTGCAGTAACTATTCTAATTAAGTTCTGTTGTACTCAACTAAGCAGCATTTACAGACAAGTTCTTTTTACCAACTGTCTTGTAATTTTAGCACAAAAAACATACCAGAGACCTAACAATTACTAAACTGGCTTGATCTATGAAGACAAGAACCTAACTTAAAGTAACTCCAGTTGTTTAAAAATTTAAGTGAAAATAAGGGAAGAAAGCCTGATTGCCTTGTAAGTAACTGTTGTTTTAGGAAATACAGAACTTGTGTTTTTCTAGCAAATATTCATCACTTTGTTGGTTGTAGTATTACTGGATAAGAAGAAAATGTTTCTTCAACTACCATTATTACAGTATCACTTTGACGAGCATTGTGGTGCAATGTGCTGGCTAAAAAATTACATTTCGGCATTCTGAAATATACTTTAGCCTACTAGCAAGCTCAGCTAATTGTTTTTACTGTTTTGATGTCAATTTTTTTTTTTGAATACTCAAGTCCATCCAAAGTGATAATAATAGTAATACAGTTTATTTTCTTGGGCAGAAATGTGCACAATGGCTCAGGTTAAGGTTGCTCTGAGCTGGCCCAAAAATTTATTTATGCCCTTGGACATTAACTGTTATTGTTTGAAAATCATTTCACCGAGAGTTGTCAGGAAAGTGGATATTTTTTTAACCCACCTTACTTCTTCAAATTGAAGTATTTGAGAGTAAAAATGAGTACAGAACCACATTCAGCAACCACAACAAAAGTCACTTGCAAAAATTCAGCCACTTTAAAATACTTTCAAAAATAACCAAAGTAATAGTTGATGTTTTTTTTGTCTCTGTGGTTTCCACTTAAGATGTAGGCTTTACCCTCCCTCTTTAAATATTGGCTGATGACCTATAGTCCAATTGAGTTTAGAACTCTGTCTTTAATCAGAGGATCAAAGCATCCATAACAGTTCTCAAACAAACACTGAGGTTTATTGTATTCCAGCAGCTTCTGGGGACCACGGACAAGGAAATGCTCCAAGCTGTAGGCAATGCAGACAATGCACTGTTCTTGGTAATCATCACACTCCTGACAGACATAGACACGACCTGAAGACTTCCCAACAAACACACCCTAAGCAAAAGAGATTGATGTTTGCTTATCAGCAAAATTGTCTAAAAACAAGTGGAATGTGCTATATGCTAACATAATAATGAAAATAAATTAAACCAAATATTCTAAGATATTTCAAAAGAATCCTACAAAGAATAAGTTAACCCTTTTACTCACAGATCTCTTTAGTAATTCTCCTTACTGCCTGCCCACAATTTTTATGATGTAAATGGTTTAAAGAATTCTCCAAAATGTGATTCAAGTTTTCCTTGATTCTCCTCACTTTTCTGCTTATACTGTATTGAGATTGTATGGAGAAATTCTGTTTTGGTCAATCAAGGGAGTTAAAGGGTCAAAATATAAAATTCAGCACCATGGTTTTTCTGTTCCATAAAAGATTCACTGAGCATACAGCTTAAGTTGTAAATCCCCTCAACAATCTCCGTGAACCTATCAATTTGGAAAAATGATGATTGCATCAACTATTTTAGGAACAACAGTGCTTCTCTCCTATTTATTTATTCTGCACTCAGGTTTAGTTGACAGCTCACAACTTTCAAACATGTTTGAAAATTCTAAATATGAGACAGGTGTGCAACTTAACAATGTGACTTCAAAAAAAGCTGACTCCAATATTGCAATTTATGAAAAAACTGGCAAAATATACTAATTATATATAATAATTCACTTTGCAAAAAGAGGGAAACTTAGAATTGGATAATACCATTGACAACTGAATTGTATTCTATATCATATACCCTGTGCCGCTGAAATTAACCCAAATTTAGACTTTTATTTATATTTATTTATCACAGGTCATATATTAATAAGGGTCTTAATAATTCACTAACTCAACAATTAGTAATGGATGAAAATTGTGATACTCACAATATTAGAATTGGAGGATAATCTTTTCCATTTACACTATTAAGCATGTTCCAGTAAAAAATACACAGGTAATAAAGAGAAACCAAATGCATCTCTCACTTCATCATCTCTCACAAAAATTTGATTACCAGACATCAATATGCAAATCAACCCCAGGAAGACAAAAACATTGTAGTCGTTGTGGTTCTTGTTTTGTTCCTAGTTGCAAATTTTTCAAATCAATTTGTTTTTTATTTTCCTTTGTCTTTTATTCAATTTTACCACACTTTGAAACAATGGAAAATAAAACTCAAACTGTTTTCTCACTGACAATATACAGGTCCTCGTAATCATGAAAGTCATACTGTTCACACATGTGGAGCTTGAACAATGACAAGCGTGAGGAGGGTGCGAAAAATATGAACGGCATTTTTTAAATGGCACAACTGAACAAGATCACCCGCCCATAGAGGAATATAAACAGAAATTCTATGAATCTATCTTGCAAAAGTTACTTTTGGAATCGCGACGTTTGAATTGTACACTAAAGCTTATAAAATCTGAAAAGCTTAGTCTTTCGGTATCCATTTTAAACCGTTCGTGTCAACTCTTCAACGCCGTTTATTGCTTTAAAAATAATTTAATCGATCGAGAACTCTTTAGTTGACGTTCGACATCAACAAACTGTGTAAGAATAGCTCCTTGATAGCACAAATCAACTCGAATACATAAATATAGCTGATTTATTTAAATATTTGACAATGAGTGCTAGTGAAGGAGTTATCCACTACAGGTTCAGAATATTTCCTTGCACTTCTCAAATTAACTACCTTACCTCTACCGGGAATGATAAGCTTCCTTGCAACATACCGATCTGTGCAACTTCCTCTTCGATATAGTATTTTTTCCACACTTGTAAAGTGAAATCCTCGAACACGGTCGACTCGCCACGGCCGACGATCACTAGATCTCGATTGAAACCATTTACAATAAGCTTGCGATATTTGTAGTCTTCGAGAAAAGAGTCCAATTCTCTTGTGTCGTTGACATTTAATTTCCTTAGCCGTGTAAAGAAACGTTCCTTATCTGTGGGATCCGCCAATTGAAAGGCGCTGGAAATTTCGCTATCCGCCATGATTGTTCTCTGAAGAAAAACCACACCAGCAAACGGATGTAAATTGGTGGTAAAATCTTCGATTATTTCGGACATATAAAAAAATATCCAACAAATGCAGAGCTACTGTAAGGATTCTTGTGTGTTGATTAGCTGTCTTTACGCTTCATGTCATAAAGACAAACACACAGCAAGAGTCCGCATTTAGCAAATGTGTCAAATCGTAGTAATCATAAATTATCACCAGGGAACTGGGCGAGGGGACGGTTAATCCTCTCCTCTCCCCACCATAGAAGGATTTGCTTTGCATTTGTTCATTTATTATTTGGCGACCATACCGCTGAACCGAAATAACCCTGGGCTCGATATTGACCCTAAGCTTGTAATTTCTATCAGCTCCTTTTTTCCTTGCTTTTTGGTATTTTGATGAAATACATTTAAAATTTCAAACAAGCCAATAATACTGATAATAATGATGATTACAATGTCAATGATCTAGAACAAATATGTCAATTATACAAGTAAGGAGCAGGACTGTCAAGACTGCCGTTCCGCAAATGGGGCGCCCACAATAAGGCAAGTCAGAGGTAAGCAGTTATCACCAGTTGATGGTCATATATTGAGCCATAACTCTTTGGAACCCTTAATCGGAAGGCTTTGGATCTTGAGACAGTTGTTATAAATACAATCTCACCAGCGCTGATATTATAAAGAATTACCTCTGACCACTCAAAGGGCAGGAACTGCAAAAATATTTCGTGAGGTAAGGTATACTACAGTTGCTGATAAGCGCTCATGAAAGGATTAGTTTGATTATGAGGATCAACTAATGAAATTCAATCATGTACGTTTTTAAAGACGGCTTGACTTTTCCAGGCATTTCCTCAAATTAAAACTAACGCAGTGTGTAGAGTCAATACAAAGAAACTTCACAAGGATTCATGATTTATATGCTGAAGCGATATTTCGAAGCAAACTGGCATTTTCGTTCGAATTTTTGCAACGACTGCGCCACATATCTACGTGGTTTTTACATCCATGGGAATGTTGACAAAATCCATGGACATCACTGTCTCTTAAGGTCTCTTAAGGGCAGTCAGATTTATGTTGCTCATGTATAAAAGTTGCCACATTTCTATGACGTGTCCTTAGACATGACTGTGCTAATTACTGTTAAACTTTGCTTTTTTTTTCCCTTGGAAGTGTAATAGGAAGCCATGACTTGACCCGTTTTGTGGGAGTTGCACCCAACCCCATGCAATGGCT